TGTGATTTAAGACACAGCTACTACCATGCATTGGGCCCTGAAATATGACCCCGCTCGACTTCTTATTCACCCTAGCTCTCTGTCCAGGAGTTGCAAGTAGTTTCTGGTGTTTGTAGCCTACTGGAGGCTGTGGACAGCGCTGACCGTAGGGGTGGGCTGTGATGCGGTAGGTACGTGGCACGGTGTACCGAATACCCGTTAGGTATCTCGGGAACCCTGTTCACATCGTTCGGGGCCGTATGGGAAACCTCGGCCGGACTCCCTGCGGATGGAACCTGAATAGGCGATAAACCTGGACTAGAGGCTTAAGTGTTTAGGTAGGTCGTGGTCTACACCCACGTCGGCTTTCGTTTGAAGTCTGCCGAGCACATGTCGTGTGCAGACGCTAAGTGGTGGAAACATGTATGAAGAAGTACACCCCTGCAGGGTTAACATGGTCTATTCGAATAGCCGCGTCCGCGGTAAAGGACTACTTGGTTGCCTATACAGTTCATAGACAAGTAAATGGAAACTACTAAAATTCTCAAGATAAGTGTGAGTGCCGAGGATGGCTCTTCCGTAGGAAGATGGAGGTGGATCCTCGGTAGGGTATTGAAGTGGTGAGTAGTGGACTCGTGTGCGCAAAACATTTCAAGTTGGGGTATCGTAGGATAGCCTAGCCAAGAGTCAAAGCTGGCTTGCTGCAATAACTCCACCAACCCTTCTTGACACTATGCATGTATGTAGGATCTGATGTAAGTCTTGCTGAGTACCTTTGTACTCATGTTGCTATAATCTACATTTTTACAGAAGACGCTGCAACCCCTTCTGATGGGTTCTATGTAGACGTTGACATCAACGAGTAGGCTAAAGACCCAGGTGGTGACCCTGAACTTGTGATGGACCACGTAGTATAGCTAGGCTTTCCAAGCCTCTTTTATTTTACTAGTTGTCTGTACTCAGACAATGTACTTCCGCTGCTGGTTTGTATGACTGTATGACTTGTATGATGGGTCGTGAGACCCGTACCTTTGTGTATGTTATGTATGGCTCCCTGAGCCTTAAATAAAGTACTTGTGTCATAGAGTCATGTTGTGATGCTTCGTTGTATTTGCACATATCGAGCATATTGTGTGTATGATTGAAATGCTTGGTATGTGTGGGATCTGACTATCTAGTTGTTTATCTTTAGTAGCCTCTCTTACCGGGAAATGTCTCCTAGTGTTACCGCTGAGCCATGGTAGCTTGCTACTGCTCTGGAACACTTAGGCTGGCCGGCATGTGTCCTTCTTCGTTCCTGTGTCTGTCCCTTCGGGGAAATGTCACGCTTTGAGTACCGGAGTCCTGTTAGCCCGCTACAGCCCGGTTTACCGGAGTCCTGCTAGCCCAGTGCTACAGCCCGGACCCACTTGCTGATGACCGACACGTTCGAAGCTGGGTCATGGATGCCTGTCCCTGTAAGTCTGTGCCACTTTGGGTCTACGACTAGTCATGTCAGCCCGGGCTCCTTATCATATGGATGCTAGCGACACTATCATATACGTGAGCCAAAAGACGCAAACGGTCCCGGGAAAAGGTAAGACGACACCCGTGGGGATACCGTGCGTGAGGCCGCAAAGTGATATGAGGTGTTACCAGCTAGATCGATGTGACATCGAGTCGGGGTCCTGACAAAACCCAAGAAAGAAATAAAGAAAACCAAAGTATAATCTAGAAAGAAAGAAAAATGGAAGAAAACCGGTGAAAAAGCTAAGAAAACCAATTATAATAAAAAACATTGGAAAAAACCTGTAGAAAATCAGAAAAGAGCAAACCAACTGCGACGTAAAGCCATAGTGACGCTACGGGCGAGACATAGCTATCGGGTGGGTTGAGTGGGGGCTACATGTGGAGAGCTCGTCGCCAGCGCCTTCAGCGCCCGCTAGCGAACCCAGCGCCCGCTGCGTCGCTTGCATGGGCTTGGCCCAGCAACGTGCGCTGGCTCCCGCTCGCTAGCCGCACACTCGATCGCTCGATCGCTTTTTTTTTCTCTTCCCCAGAATTGCTACATTATGTCATGATTTCTCTTAGGAAAAAACCAACAGGTTTTCTACAGTACATACTCTGGTTCTTAGGAAAAAGTTCATTGAATTCGAAAAAAAGTTCACCGAATTTGCAAAAAAGTTCATCAGTTTTGGAAAAAAAATTGTCGAATACGAAAAAAAGTTCATCAAATTTGAAAAAAGTTCATCGAATTTAAAAATGGTTCATCGAATATGAAAAAAGTTTATCAATTTTGAAGAAAAGTTCTTCAGATTTGAAAAAAGGTTCATTGATTTTGAAGAAAAGTTCATTGGATTTTAAAAAAGGTTCATCGAATTCAAAAAAAAGTTCATCGGATTCAAAAAAAGTTCATCGAATACGAAAAAAGTTCATCAAATTTGAAAAAAGTTCATCGAATTTGAAAAAAGTTCATCGAATTTAAAAAAAGTTCATCGAATTTTAAAAAAAATCATCTAATATGAAAAGAAGTTCATCGATTTTGAAGAAAAGTTCATCGGATTTGAAAAAAGTTCATCGAATTTGGAAAAAAGTTCATCGAATTCAAAAAAAGTTCATCGAAGTTAAAAAAAGTTCGCCAGATTTGAAAAAAAGTTCATCGATTATGGAAAAAGTTCATTGAATTTGTAAACAAAAAGTTCGTCCATTTTCCGGAAAAAAGTGAAGAATTTTTTTCTCGAATTTAAAAAAAAGGAAAAAGAAAAACGTGTCTAATAGAAGGAAAAAGTTCATCGATTATGGAAAAAATGACTATGGCAAGCCATCTCAACAAGTTTACGAACAATAATGACTATCAATTCTCTCCCATGGCACATATGCATTTATATTGAGACATCGTGCGAGTTCGAATAGCGTTGGATGTCTAATTCGTTTTCGCTATTAATTTCACTGCTATGCTGAAATAACAACTTGCCATAGTTTTGCGCTCAATCTGTTTAAAGAAAATAAATAACCATAGTTTTGCATTTAATCGTTTTGTTGAGATGGCTTACCATAAATGTGCATTCAACCTGGTTAATTGTTGTTTGGTGAAACAGCTTGCCATAGTTTCATACTGAATTTGTTTACTGAAATGACTTGTCATAGTTTTGCACTCAATATTTTTACTAAAATAGTTTATCATTATTTTACATTCAATCAGCTTGCCATCATTTTGTACTAAACTTATAGATGTGTTTGCCGAAATAATTAGAAAAAAACACTATTTTTTTCTGAAAAACAATCACTACTAATTTATGCACACAAAAAAGGCTCTACTAATGTGTTGGTCCTACACATCAGTGGAGATCGCTGACAAATTACTTTTCTTTGGTATCGTTTTCTGCAAAACACTGCTGCCAGACACGAACGTGTTTGCAATGAAAAATAAATAGGCCTTGCAAAGCTATCGATTCCAGGACAAAGTCACACAATGCTACATTTCCATCGACATGCAACTTGCTAGTGCGAAGTAACCATGACCTGTGCGTCACATGATTCAGGTCACGCTACGCAAAAGCAAAATGTGGGAAATCATTGCTAATTATTCGTCTCAAGATAACTTATATATTACCTTAATTATGTCAAAAGAAATGATTTTATTTTTTGGTACCCCGAGATCATGGAACAATTGTTCTATGGTAATTTTCTATTATTATTTTTGGACAAAGGTAATTTTCTATTATTATACGTACAGAATATACAGAGAGTCTCAATAAAGATTGCATCAACCAATTCCTTTTCCAGGCCACAAAGGAAATAGAAGGATAATCAATTTTTCATGTTCACAGATGAACGGTGCACCAGTTTTTCGCGAATATGCAAAGTTTGCGTATCGCATTGACAGAAGAAATAGAATGAGTACAAATAGAGGTACAACACATGATACGAACGCAGCAGACGTGAACATGATGCCTGAAGCAGATAGAGACAAGGAATGTTCGGCCCGAATGGAGGATACAACATAGCTAAACCTACCATGCGCGACCCAAGGGCGGCAATGCCGAACCAACAAGAGCACCAGCATCTCCAGAACCAAAATAGGGGACACCGCGAGGGAGCAAGATAACGCCTCCAAGAAGGAGGACGCCGAGACACCGTCGCCATCCAGTCCGAAGGAACCAGACTTAGGGTTTCCCCTGAGCTCGAAGAGGGGCGCAGCCGCAGGCCTTTACAGTGCCTCCAAGAAGAAACCGGACCTAGGGTTTCCCCTCAACAGTGCACCAGTTCTTGAGTTGTTCTGCCTTTTGTGGTTTAATGTGCATCATAGTGATCTTGAGTAGTTATTTCATGTTGAAACTCCGGTTATTGGTGCTGTGGACAGCATTCCTGAAAATCTTGTCATTTCGTTGTGTTCATAAACTCCAACATCCCATGATGATGATATCCAATCCAATATCATTGAGAAGCATCATTAGGGCCAGTTGCAATTCACCAGATAAATGATCATCATACTATATTCTGTCCTAGTAGAGGTAAAATGTCCACCTTCTTATCTGTCATGAGAAGTCATTAAAACTCTATACGCGGTATGAAATTGTACGAACGGTCCATCTGCGACAACTCGAACTTCACGAATTTTTTCCTTTCGGACACAATCATTAAAGCTGAATGAATGGCCAAGGATTCATGCATTCTAGGTTTTGAGCTTAAACATCAGACCCAAAGTAAACAATAAAGGAGCGTCACATGCAGGTTGATAGCCTGATCACATGTTCTCAGTGTTTGCCTGTCCAAATGAAAAAATGTCAACAAAATTTTCCTCTGGTCGATCTGCCTTTATGTACAGAAGAATCACGAGATCCCTGTAAAATTAGTTGCAGATGGCCTTTCGATTGATTCTCGTGGCTCAGCACAGTGTTGCCGTCACTTTTCCCTTTGGCTGAAGAAGACAGTAATGGTGGTGTGCCTGTTTTCACAAGACGCCAATACTCTTGCTTATAAGTTATCTACTCATGCCTCTATACGTGATAATTTTGACCAGGAGCTGTTAAAGAGCGGGCATGGCATGCTGTGGTTCACGAAACGTCAGGTGAGCCTCCACTCGACCAATATCACCTTGCTTATCAGGGTAAAATTGTTGGCTTGACATTTCAGTTCTCAAGGATTTACGTGTTAGGTTTCACCAATATCACCATTGCAGTGTACTGTACTATATGTTCCAAAAGGAAAAATTGTTTGACTGATTGTTTCCAGATTCAGATGATATATTTTCTCACATATTTTCTCTGCTGCATTACCAATTCTAGGTTCCAGAACGACCTCGAGGTGCAGCAGTTGAAAGCAATCTCCCTGGAGATCCCATCAACAGCAAGCAAGAGCCACAGCAAGCTGCCTCACGATCCAAGGAAATGCAAGCTGGGCTCCCGGGTCTGCCCGGAGAGGCCGTGCAGAAGCATCAGGGACAGGGTGCTGTCACGCGCCTTCTCGGAGGAGCTGGAGTCGCTGATGCACTCTGGCAGCCACATCTTCTTCGACCCCCGCGGCCGGGTGATCCACCTGTGGAACAAGATCTTCCTCACGGCGTGCCTGCTCTCGCTCTTCGTCGACCCGCTGTTCCTCTACCTGACCGGAACCCAGCAGAACATGTGCATCGAGTTCAAGCACTCGCTGGCGCTCATGCTCTCCGTCATACGGTCGCTGCTGGACGTGTTCTACGCGGCCCACATCTGCCTCCGCTTCCGGACGGCGTTCATCGCCCCGTCTTCCCGTGTGTTTGGGAGAGGAGAGCTCGTGATCCAGCCATACAAGATCGCCATGAGGTATCTATCACGGGCCTTCTGGTTTGATCTCATCACCGCGCTGCCTCTACCACAGGTAACGGACGGTTACATCCAGTGCTCTTTGCCATGAATCGCAAGAACTGAAATGCTCTGCACAAATCTTCTGTAACTTTGTGTGTTTCTCCTCGGTATCCACAGTTCGTGATCTGGGTCGTCGTGCCTATGCTGAAGGAATCCGCCACGGCAAACCGGAAGGATATCCTCCGGTTCAGCATCATCTTCCAGTACCTCCCGCGGCTCTTCCAGATCTTCCCGCTCACGAGGCAGATCGTCATGGCGACTGGAGCCATGACGGAGAACGCATGGGCCAGCGCGGCGTATAACCTCATACTCTACATGCTGGCAAGCCACGTGCTGGGAGCATTGTGGTACCTCTTCTCGGTGCAGAGGCAGGAGGCGTGCTGGAGAGAGGCGTGCAATCTGGAGGGCCCCATGTGTCGGACCGAGTTCTTCGACTGCAACACCGTCAGTAGCAACAGGACCATCTGGTACGAGCTGAGCAACATAACGAGATTGTGCACTCCGGACAATAGTTTCTACCAGTTTGGGATTTACGCGGAGGCCTTCAACTATAAGCTCACCACGTCGTCCTTCACCCAGAAGTACTTCTACTGCTTCTGGTGGGGACTCAAGAACCTCAGGTTTGAAATTACTCCATGCATGCACGCTACACTGTAGTATGTATCATTTACATATTGGCCATGTTTCTAACTAATACAAAAATGTTTCAGTTGCCTGGGACAGAATCTGGCGACGAGCTTGTACATTGGAGAGATAAGCTTTGCAATCGTCATTGGCATCCTTGGGCTTGTATTGTTTGCTCTGCTCATTGGCAACATGCAAGTAAGATCTCCTTGCTTCCACTCCATCAATCTTGCAGCAAACAATAAACGAGAAGTTGTAGAAGAACTGACATTTCTAGTATTTTTGTCTTTGCAGTCGTATCTTCAAGCGACGATGATCCGACTGGAGGAGTGGCGGACGAAGCGGACGGACATGGAGCGGTGGATGCACCACCGGCAGATACCCCAGCCGCTGAAGCAGTGCGTGAGGAGGTACCAGCAGTACAAATGGGTGGCCACCCGCGGCGTGGACGAGGAGGCCTTGCTCAAGGACCTCCCCATGGACATCCGCCGCGACATCAAGCGCCACCTCTGCCTCGACCTCGTCCGGCGAGTGCCACTGTTCGACGAGATGGACGAGCGGACGCTGGAGGCCATCTGCGAGCGGCTGCGGCCGGCGCTCTACACCCGTGGCACGCGGCTGGTGCGCGAGCTGGACCCCGTGGACTCGATGCTCTTCATCATCCGAGGGTACCTCGACTCGTACACGACGCAGGGGGGGCGGTCCGGGTTCTTCAACTCGTGCCGCATCGGGGCAGGGGAGTTCTGCGGGGAGGAGCTCCTGACGTGGGCGCTGGACCCGCGGCCTTCCGAGTACCTGCCGCGGTCCACGCGCACCGTGCGGGCCGTCTCCGAGGTCGAGGCGTTCGCGCTCGTCGCGGAGGACCTCCGGTTCGTGGCGTCGCAGTTCCGGCGCCTGCACAGCGCGCGGATCCGGCACAGGTTCCGGTTCTACTCGCACCAGTGGCGGACGTGGGCGGCGTGCTTCATCCAGGCCGCGTGGCGCCGGCACAAGCGACGCCGCGCGTCCATGGAGCACATGATGCCACAGGCAGGCGACGGGCGGGCGGGAGGGAGCGTGAGGTGCCGACGGCACAGCTGCGACGGCAGGGCGCTCAAGAAGCCCATGGAGCCGGATTTTACGGTGGAACAAGAGATCTAAATTGTAGGGACCGCCTATTCTTGAGGAGATAGCTGAAAACGTTTTCAGTTTCAGTCGATTGTATAGGAACCGTTGGATAGGAAACGGACTGACATATCTTCTCTTCTACCTCCAAACGTTGACTGGTCAATCCTGTTGCAAACTGCCGCATTGCATCCGGGGGACAGACCTGGTGTCCTTGACGTATCCCCCTTGTTTCCTTTGCGAGAGAGATCCGGCGATGGCAGCAGCTCAGGCCAACTCCACCGCGCGACCTCAAACGAACGTCTGCTTTGCCTGGAATCGGTTCATTTGGGTAAAGCGATGGGGTCGTGTTCGGGCCTGTCATGAGATGCGGTGGTCGTACGCCCAGCGCGCGGCCACATCTGTTTGCCCCATCCTGTTCGTCAGGGTCAAAAATGCTCATATTTTCATATCAAAACAAGTTTGCACGTCCAAATATTAATTGTTTGAAAATAAAAATAGTTTGACAACCCAATCAAAATTGTCTCTAATAAAATAGTTTTACAACCAAATCGAAATTATCTTGAATGAATATAAAATGAACCAATACATCTATTGGTTGTCAATGTGATCCCACACGTGCTCAACCAAGTCATTTTGAAGATCCAAATGAGTGGGCCAATCACGCAGCTCACGATGGAATTGGACAAACTGTTCAAACGTGGCCGGTTCTTGGTGCAGGGGCTTAACATTTTCACCTTGATAATCAAATCCTTTGTCGCAGATACTGTCATCACGCTCGTCCTCGACGATCATGTTGTGCATGATCACACAAGCAGTCATCACCTCACAAAGCTCCCCTTCATCCCATGACAGTGCAGGGTTTCAAACGATACCCCATCAGGATTGAAGCACACCAAAAGCACGTTCCACATCCTTTCTAGCACTCTCTTACATTTGGACAAATCTCTTCCCCTTCTCACCTTGGGGGTTCGAGATTGTCTTCACAAAAGTTGATCACTGAGGATATATACCATCAGCTAGATAGTATCCCTTGTTGTACCGGTGGCCGTTGATCTCAAAGTTGACAGGTAGGGAATGGCCTTCTGCAAGCCTTGCGAAGACTGGAGAACACTGCAGCACGTTGATATCATTGGGAGAACCTGCCATGCCGAAGAAAGAATGCCATATCCAAAGATCCTGCGAAGCCACCACTTCTAATATGACAGTGCATGCTTTGACATGCCCCTTGTACTGGTCCTGCCAAGCAAATGGACAGTTCTTCCACTCCCAGTGCATACAATCTATGCTGCCAAGCATGCCTGGAAAGCCTCTAGCTGCGTTGGTCTCCAACAATCTCTCTATATCAGCGGCAGTTGGCTGCCTCAAGTACTCAGGGCCAAACACCTCGATCACAGCCTGCAGAACTTGTACATTGACATCAGACATGTTGTCTCACTCATATGCACATACTCATTCACCAGATCGCCTGGAATTCCATATGCAAGCATGCGGATGGCTGCGGTGCATTTCTGGTAAGAGGAGAATCCAAGCTTGCCAAGGGCATCCGTCTTGCACTCGAAGTATGGTTAATGAGCAATCAATCCCTCTCGGATACGATTGAACACATGCCTTGCCATATGAAAATGGCGACATAATTTATCTGGCTTGAAGAGCGGGGTGTTCGCAAAGTAATCGGCATAGAGCAGGGCGTGGCCTCTCTCCCTGTTGCGGTTCAGGTTGGGAGCACGGCCAGGGAGTGACCTGATACGTCTCCATTGTATCTACTTTTCCAAACACTTTTGCCCTTGTTTTGGACTCTAACTTGCATGATTTGAATGAAACTAACCCGGACTGACGCTGTTTTCAGCAGAATTGCCATGGTGTTATTTTTGTGTAGAAATAAAAGTTCTCAGAATGACCTGAAAAATCAACGGAGAATATTTTTGGAATATATAAAAATACTGGCGAAATAAATTAAGGCCAGGGGGCCCACACCCTGTGTGACGCCCCAAGACTGGAGCTTCAGGTGCCTTTCATGAATTCCGGGTTTCATCGTGTGATTTGTTTGGTTCGTTGCATTCTTCATTGCATATTTTGCATTGCGTCTTGTCATCATGTATCATATCATTAATTCTTTTGCAACTCAACTAAATAAATCGTATAGATCTTCGGTCCATTTAAACCGAGGGAATTCACATGGTGATTCTCTTTATAACATATCCTCTTAATATTTAGGGAGCTATATTAAACCATTCCATTGGCTTGGATTCACCCATAACACATTTGCACCGTTCTTCAATTTCCTTTTTATCCAACTCCACTTCTTTTCTTCCTTTGGAGCCTTTTTAGTAAAATTGAGTTGCAATTTTACTTATCCATAAATGTTCCAGATCTGCCCATAAATCACATCTAGTGTGTAGGGTCATCTCCTATAATTTCAACCCATTTGTAGTTCGTTGGAATGGGTTTTGAAATTCAACCTTGTGCGAATCTTAATTCCACGAAGAATGCTCGAACCATTTTATTGTCATCCTTCACATTTTTGTGAGTCCGTAAAGATTTTTCTCCCTGCCAAACTCCTTTGCTACTCCTCTAGTCATTTCTTTTATCTCATGTGTTTTTTTCTTTCTTTCTTCTTGTGAGAAATAGAAAACGGAGGGGGAAACCCAGCTAGGCATCCATCCCTGTAGCCCACCTGGGCCTCCTGTTCAGCCCAGCAGCCGAGGCCAAGGCCCAACCGCACCTAACCTAGCCCCGACCCCTCCACTCGCTCTCTCCCTCGATGCCCATTCAGCGCTGCCGCTTGCCCGATCCCCATCTCCCCCATCGATCCCTTTCTCATGTGCGTGCGCCGTTAGAGAGAGGTAGGGAGAGAGCAGCACTGCACCTCGTCCCGATCCATGGATCTCCTCGCCCATGCCTGCTACCTCTTGCGTTGGATTTCCCCGAAGAGGAGAGGATGATGCAGCAAAGTAGCATGGTATTTCCCTTAGTTTTTGAGAACCAAGGTATCAATTTAGTAGGAGGCTACGCACGAGTCCCTCGTACCTACACAAAAACAATAGCTCAACGCAACCAACGCGCTTAGGGGTTGTCAATCCCTTCACGGTCACTTACGAAAGTGAGATCTGATAGAGATGATAAATAATATTTTTGGTATTTTTGGTATAGAGATGCAAAGTGAAAAGTGAAAGGCAAAGTAAAAGCAAAGCAATAATAAAGTGATGGAGATTGATATGATGAGAAAGAGACCCGGGGCCATAGGTTTCACTAGTGTCTTCTCTCAAGAGCATAAGTATTCTACGGTGGGTGAACAAATTACTGTTGAGCAATTGAGAGAATTGAGCATAGTTGTGAGAATGGTATGATCATGTATATAGGCATCACGTCCGAGACAAGTAGACCGACTCCTGCCTGCATCTACTACTATTACTCCACTCATCGACCGCTATCCAACATGCATCTACAATATTAAGTTAAAAACAGAGTAACGCCTTAAGCAAGATGACATGATGTAGAGGGATAGTTTCATGCAATATGATAAAACCCCCATCTTGTTATCCTCGATGGCAACAATAAAATAAGTGCCTTGCTGCCCCTTCTGTCACTGGGAAAGGACATCGCAAGATCAAACCCAAAGCTAAGCACTTATCCCATGGTAAGAAAAACCAATCTAGTAGGCCAAACCAAACTGATAATTCGAAGAGACTTTCAAAGATAACCAATCATACATAAAAGAATTCAGAGAAGATTCAAATATTATTCATAGATAGACTGGATCATAAACCCACAATTCATTGATCTCAACAAACACACCGCAAAAAGAAGATTACATCGAATAGATCTCCACGAGAGAGGGGGAGAACATTGTATTGAGATCCAAAAAGAGAGAAGAAGCCATCTAGCTACTAACTATGGACCCGTAGGTCTGAAGTAAACTACTCACACTTCATCGGAGGGGCTTGGATGATGATGTAGAAGCCCTCCGTGATTGATGCCCCCTACGGCGGAGCTCCGGAACATGCCCCAAGATGGGATCTCGTGGATACAGAAAGTTGCGATGGTGGAATTAGGTTTTTGGCTCCGTCTCTGATCGTTTGGGGGTACATGGATATATATAGGAGGAATAAGTACGTCGGTGGAGCAACAGGGGGCCCACGAGGGTGGAGGGAGCGCCTGGGGGGGGGGGGCAGGCGCGCCCCCTACCTCGTGGCCTCCTGTTAATTGGCTTGACATAGGGTCCAAGTCTTCTGAGTTGTATTCGGTGAGAAATCCACGTTCCCGAAGGTTTCATTCCGTTTGAACTCCGTTTGATATTCCTTTTCTTCGAAACCCTAAAACAGGCAAAAAACAACAATTCTGGGCTGGGCCTCCGGTTAATAGGTTAGTCCCAAAAATAATATAAAAGTGGATAATAAAGCCCAATAATGTCCAAAACAGTAGATAATATAGCATGGAGCAATCAAAAATTATAGATACGTTGGAGACGTATCAAGCATCCCCAAGCTTAATTCCCGCTCGTCATCGAGTAGGTAAATGATAAATACAAATTTTTTGATGCGGAGTGCTACTTGGCATAATTTCAATGTAAATCTTCTTAATTGTGGTATGAATATTCAGATTCAAAAGATTCAAGATAAAAGTTCATGTTGACATAAAAATAATAATACTTCAAGCATACTAACAAAGGAATTATGTCTTCTCAAAATAACATGGCCAAAGAAAGCTATGCCTTAAAAATCATATAGTTTGGCTATGCTCTATCTTCACCACACAAAGTATTTAAATCATGCACAACCCCGATGACAAGCCAAGCAATTGTTTCATACTTTTGAAATTTTCAAAACTTTTTCGATCTTCACGCAATACATGAGCGTGAGCCATGGATATAGCACTATATGTGGAATAGAATAGTGGTTGTGGAGAAGACAAAAAGAGGGGAAGATAGTCTCACATCAACTAGGCGTATCAACGAGCTATGGAGATGCCCATCAATAGATATCAATGTGAGTGAGTAGGGATTGCCATGCAACGGATGCACTAGAGCTATAAGT